GCACTGGGGGAGGGGTGGATTTCCCCTGACAGATGGAGCTATGCTGAAGTATGTCCCCAGCGTACACCAGCCTGGTGTGCAGGGGGTTGGTGGTGGGAGGCTGGGATCCAGGAGTCCTGGGTTCCCAGCACTGCCACTAACTTCCAAAGTCTGTTCTCGGTGACCTAAATCTGGAGTTTCAGAGTAGCAGCCGTGTTAGTCTGTATTCGCAAAAAGAAAAGGAGGACTTGTGGCACCTTAGAGACTAAGGTGCCACAAGTCCTCCTTTTCTTTTTGTAAATCTGGAGTGAAGCCACAGGAACTTCTCCAGCTGCACACTGGGGCAGGGGTGCCCCTCGTGCCCATGATACAGTAAAGCTGCCCTTCCCCGCCCCCACCCTCTGCTGCCCCTCGTGCCCATTATACAGTATAGCCGCCCCTTCCTCACCCCCGCCCTCTGCTGCCCCTCGTGCCCATTATACAGTATAGCCGCCCCTTCCCCACCCCCACCCTCTGCTGCCCCTCGTGCCCATTATACAGTATAGCTGCCCCTTCCCCACCCCCGCCCTCTGCTGCCCCTCGTGCCCATTATACAGTATAGCCGCCCCTTCCCCACCCCCACCCTCTGCTGCCCCTCGTGCCCATTATACAGTATAGCCGCCCCTTCCCCACCCCCCACCCTCTGCTGCCCCTCGTGCCCATTATACAGTATAGCCGCCCCTTCCCCACCCCCACCCTCTGCTGCCCCTCGTGCCCATTATACAGTATAGCTGCCCCTTCCCCACCCCCGCCCTCTGCTGCCCCCACTGGCTGCGATTTGCCGCTTCAGGCCAATGGGGGCTGCAGGAAGTGGCGCGGGCCAAGGGACGTGCTGGCTGCCCTTCCCGCAGCCCCCATTGGCCTGGAGCGGCGAACCACGGGCAGTGGGAGCCGCGATCGGCCGAACCTGTGGACGCGGCAGGTAAACAAACCGGTCCGGCGCACCGGGGCTTTCCCTGAACAAGCAGCGGACCGGCTTTGAGAACCACTGCGTTAGAGGACACAGCTCCGCCATGCCTTACGGTGTCTTGTTCTTGCAGGCCTGCCCTGCTGCCGCAATGTGTCTCTCTTGGGATGGACTCAACCTGCTCTTATTCCTGGTGCTGGCCTGGTGCCTGGCCCCGCCTGCCCACTGCCAGGGCCCGCGCTACGAGAAGTTCCTGCGGCAGCACCATGACCACCCGCGGACCAATGCCGGGCGGGATTACTGCGGAGCCATGATGCAGCGCCGTGGCATGACCCGGCACTGCAAAAACATCAACACCTTCATCCATGCCCCCAAGGCCCAGATCCAGGCTGTCTGCGGCTCCGGGGGCATCGAGTACTGGGGCATGCGGCGCAGCCGGGCTCAGTTCCCCGTCACCACCTGCTCGCTGAAGGGTCCCCCGTGGGGCCGGTGCAGCTACCTGGGCCACGCCAACCACAGATTCCTCGTCATCACCTGCGACCCGGCAGGCTGGCCCATGCACTTCGACGAGAGCCACATCATGTGATGGGGCCGGGCACCACCGCCCTGCTCCGTGTCGGCACAGAACTGAGTTTTCGGCCATGCATTGTGTAGAATGGGCCAGACCCCGGCTAGTGTGAATGGGCCGCAGCTCCATGGAGTCAATGGGGCCAACCCCCCAGCTGGTGTGAATGGGCCAGATCTCCATTGAAGTCAATGGAGCTAGCCCCCCAGCTGGTGTGAATGGGCCAGATCTCCATTGAGGTCAATGGGGCCAACTCCCAGCTGGTGTGAATGGGCCGTAGCTCCACTGGGGTCAATGGGGCCAACCCCAGAGCTGGTGTAAATCAGCACCACTCCATTAACACTGGCACCATGGGAGCAGCACTTCCAAGCCATGCAGCTCCCGTCCGGTGAGATTTGCTCCAGAAACAAGCCCAGGACTGCATGGGTCAGGCAGGCTGCCTGGTCATTCACCCCGCTGTGTGTCTCTGGGTGGCCTGGACACCAGACACGCTGCAAAAGGCGGGGTGTGCGGGGAGCTGTCGGTGTGTGTGTGGGAGCTGGGTTGCGGGGTGGGGACGAGTGCAATGCAGACAGCGGGGAAGGCACATCCGGCTACACTCAAATGTCCTGTCCTTGCTCTGCTCCTAACTCAATAAAGGCTCCCTTCTGCAAAGCGGCTGTGCTTGTGTTTCCCCAGTGCCATTTCTCTTCCTTCTCCTTGGCCTAGAAACCCCCCCGGTTCCTCAGGGCTACATCTGCACCTGCTGTACACCAAGGTCGCCCCACCGGGAGTCAGTGGAGTCAAGCCTTCTACGATGCTGATTGGGCCCTGGGGCAGGGGACTGGCTGGCTCAGTGGGCACGGGGAGTGGAGCACGGGGTCTTTTCCTTCTAGGGGGCGCTGGCTCCCATCTGCCCCCAGGGCAGGGGACTGGCTGGCTCAGGGGGGTGAGGAATGGGGCACAGGGCTTTTCCCCTCTAGGGGGAGCTGGCTCCACTCCAGCCCCAGACGTGGCTCAGGGGGGCAGGGTATGGATTATGTCTCCTTTCATAGTCTCCACCTTCCCAGCTGACACCACTCCTGTCGGTCTCTGGCCGGTACCTTTTTCATGGATTTGCCAGCCACAAGGCTCCCTGCTCCTCAGGCGGCCTGACCTGGCCAGGGCCCTGCCCCCAGCCATTCCTGAGCCTGCCCACTCCTCCCTCTTAGCTGGGCCCCTGGTGCAGCTGCCAGAGGGTGGGACTTGGGGCTGCTCCAACGGGCAACGTGGCAGCTGGTTCTGGCGCCTGGAGAAGGACAATGGGCCGGTGACCTGTGCGTTCAATGGGGAGCTGAAACAATGGGGCCGGCCTTGGGCGACTCCACTAAATCGTCCTCCGGGGGGTCACCTGCCCCATGGCAGCCTTGCCAAGCCGGATCAGCCCTTGGGCTGGGCGGGGTGGCATCCTGTCTCCACAGTGCTGGTCCTCAGAAAGGAAACCCACTTACTGCTGTGCCTACCTCGGCCAAGCCCTCCCAGCAGGTCAGATTCTGCCCCAAGACACCAGACTTCCCTTGGTGGGAAGCGATCAGGGCTCCTGACAGTCCCTGGCTCTGGCCCAATGGGACGTCCTGAGGAATTGGCCCTTCAGCAGTAAGAAGCTCTCCAGCCGTACAGGCCCAAGGGTAAGGCCCTGGACTGGAAGTGGAGACACCTGAGTACAGCGGTGCTCCCTGTGTGATTTAGCGGGCAGATTTTTCCCATCCCCATTGGCTTTAAAGTCAAAATCGATGGGGAAAAAGGGTCCAAATCCCTCCATGGCTTGGAAAGTCTCAGTGTATTTTTTTTTAAATAAAAGCTTGGTGCCTCAGTTTCTCCATCTGGAAAATGATGCCAGCCTACTACAGCTCCCGCCTGCAGGGCCCCCGTGGTGCCCATGCGCTGTGCAGACCCCGACTGAGCTCAGGGCCCCCTTTGTGCCGGCTGCTGCCCAGGCCCCGACCGAGCTCAGGGCCCCATAGTGCTGGGTTCTGTTATGCACTCGCAGTAACAGACAGGCCTCGTCTCAATTTGCTCACAGTGCAAGGCTAGGGTTTTCAGAGAAGTTTGAGGCTGCTAAGCAGCCTATGCAGAGAAACAGTGGGAGAAAGGAAGATGATTATCTGCCCGTGTGGGGAAACTGAGGCATGGGGAGGCCAAGGGACTTGACCAAGGGCTGGGACCATGACCCAGGTCTCCCACCTCCAGGCCAATGCCTTAGCAGCCTCCTTTGCCGTCAAGAGGTTTGAAGCCTGGTACATGGAGCCCACCATGCCTTCCCCTAGGGATCACCTAGCAAGACCCCGTGTTCCCACCCCAGCCAACCCTGCTCCTGGCTTCGGAGGTTGCCAAGCTCCCTAGTGCTGGAAGGAGCTGGCTCAAATAACTAGCCGGTGCCCAGTGCTCACTGGCTTCGTGCCCCCACCCAACATCTCCGGCCTGGGCATATGAAACTGGCTCGAGGGAGCCCTCTCTGGCCAGCCAGGCTGTATATAAGGGGCACGTGCCAGGCTGAAGTCTCAGACGCTCAGCTCTAGACCCTGTGCTCCAGCAGGAGAGAAAGTAAGTCCCCACCAGGTAAGTCAGAGATTGGATTAAACCCAGGGTGGGGAGCAGGGCCGGAGGGGGAGGGGGAGTGGGCGAGGGTGCCCACCTCAGCCAAAAGAGAGGCTGAGAAGGTGATCAGGTTAGTGAGGGATCTGGCTAATGGGAGCAGAGCTCTGGCCCTTCCCCAGTCCCCTGAGACCAGCTGGAGAGAAAGGGACAGAGAGACCAGCCCAGAGGGACAGACAGCCACAGCTTTCAGAAAGATGCTCACCTTGGCAGGTACACACACACTCAGGCAAGACACAGAGTGGGGCAATCAGATGTCCCGATATTAGGGGCTTTGTCTTATATAGACAAATATACCATCACCCCCCCGCCCCGAAAAAAAGTTTCCCAACTTTTCACACTTGCTAACACAGACAGGCAGAAACACTGAGCGCGGTGAAAGCCAAAGACCTTGGCACATGACACAAATGAAGAGCCAGACAGACAGAACCCAGAGAGAGACAGATGCAAATTGATCCAGAGAGGCCAGGCAGGGAGGGGCTTGAAGCCAGGACTCCTGGGTTCTACCACTTGCTCTAGGAGGGGAGTGGGGTCTAAGGTTATAGCAGGGAGGGCTGGGAGCCAGGAGTGGGGTCTAGTTGTTGGAAGGGAGGGCGGGAGGCTGGGCATCAGGACTCCTGGGTTCTATTTCTAGCTCCTGCAGGGCGTGTGTGACTCCAGACAGTCACTTAGTTTGAGATTTTCCAACTGCTTAAGCAATTTGCGCAGCCAATGCCCACTGAGGGAAGCCTTAGAAACCTCAGGCTTGGTGTCTCTGTGCTTCAGTTTCCCACCCATGCTGCAGCCACACGGCTATGCCCCATGCTCACGGGGTCAGCCCAGGGGGGGCCTCTCCCTTGTGCCGTGGCGGGGGGCACATACTGAGCCAAACGGCCCTGCATGATGTTGCAGGTGGCGATGGGCTCTCTGAAGGGCACCGGCCCCCTCTTTCTGGCGTTGCTGGTGGCCTGTCTGCTCCTGTGCGCCTCAACCCAGGGCCCGCGCTACCAGAAGTTCCTGTGGCAGCACCATGACAACCCCCGGACTGATGTCGGGCGGGATTACTGCGGGGCCATGATGCAGCGCCGGGGCATGGCCCAGCCCTGCAAAGACATCAACACCTTCATCCACGCTTCCCGGGCCCAGCTCCGGAGCGTGTGCAGGGACGGGGGCACGCTCTACCAGGGCATGCGTCGCAGCAAGAGGCCGCTGGCCGTCACCACTTGCGAGCTGAAGCGGACGCAGGGTGCCCGGTGCATCTACCGCAGCCATGCGGCCTCCAGGTACATTGTCGTTGGCTGCAACCATGGCATGTGGCCAGTGCAATATAACGAGAAAGCGTGAGCCACGCCAGAGCCCTGGGAAGCCCTGGACGCAGCTGCCCCAGGCCTGGAGGCAGGAGGGGCCGTAGGCTGCATTGAGTTGAGTTTGCCCTTCAGAGCTGGGAATAAAACACATTTACTGGAACAGAAGTGGCTGCGAGTGTGTGAGAGGGTCTGGAGAGGGCGCTGTGGGGTAGGGAGTGGGGAGCAGGGCTCAGCAGGGGGAGCTCTCCCTTAGCAGTTAGTGCTGGCCCCACCAGGGGCACTGTGGGGCAAGGAGCTAGGTGGGGCTCAGTAGGGAGCGCTCTCCCCTAGCAGTCAGTGCTGGCCCCATTGCTGCTGTAAGGGGCACTGTGGGGCAGGGAGTGGGGTGAGGGGGTTCAGTAGGGGACGCTCTCCCCAGCAGTCAGTGCTGACCCCAGTGCCCCGGTGTAATGCTAGGGGGTGCTATGGTGCAAGAAGTGGGGCAGGGGGCTCAGTAGAGGGTACTCTCCCCTGGCAGTCAGTGCTGGCCCCAATGCCTGTGTGGCACTTGGAGGCACTGTGCTGCAGGGACCAGGGCGCGGGGGCTCAGTTGGGGGGGTGCTCTCCCCTGGGAGTCAGTGCTGCCCCAATGCCCCTGTGAGGCTAAGGCGGGATTTGATAGCTGCTTTCAACTACCTGAAGGGGGCTTCCAAAGAGGATGGAACTAGACTGTTCTCAGTGGTAGCAGATGACAGAAGAAGGAGTAATGGTCTCAAGTTGCAGTGGGGGAGGTTTAGGCTGGATATTAGGAAAAATGTTTTCACTAGGGGGGTGGTGAAGCACTGGAATGGGTTACCTAGGGAGGTGGTGAAATCTCCTTCCTTAGCGGTTTTCAAGGTCAGGCTTGACAAAGCCCTGGCTGGGATGATTTAGTTGGGGATTGGTCCTGCTTTGAGTAGGGGAATGGACTGGATGACCTCCTTAGGTCCCTTCCAACCCTGATGTTCTATGATTCTATGATTGCCAGGGGGTTTTGTGCTGTGGGGAGTGGGGAGCGGGCTTAGCTGGGGGTGCTGTGTTGCATGGAGTGGGCTCAGTAGGAGGTGCTCTCTCCCTGGCAGTCAGTGCTGACTCCAATGCCCCAGTGTGGTGCTAGGGGGCGCTGTGCTGCAGGGAGCGGGGCAGGGATCAGCAGGGGGTGCTCTCCCCTGGCAGGCAAGGCTGGCCCCATTGCAGCACTATGGGGTGCTGTGCTGCAGGGAGCCGGATGGGGGCTCATAGGAGGTGCTCTCCCTGGGCAGTCAGTGTGGTCCCCATAGCAGTGCTATGGGACACTGTGCTGTGGTGAGCGGGGCAGGGAGCCAGTAGCCCAGCGCAAGGATGGCCAGAGACTCCCCTATAGCCCAGCGAGTGGGGCGGGGGAGGTTGGGAGAGAATGAAAGTTTCTGAATCTACCAGCACCTGGCCTCCCTCGCTCCATGGCTAGGACACGGGCTCTGTAAACCCAAGGACCCAGCTGGCACCTGGGCCACATATTTGTTTCACAGATGTCAGAGGATGCGATCTTCTAGCCCTTAAAAGCAAGGCAAGCAATTACTTGGGGCCACAGGGATTTTTCAAAGGTGAATTAGCTCTGCCCTTCGAGACACACAGCCCCGGGAAATTTCCTCTTCCTCTTTACAGTAATTGATGAGAGATTCCCATTCCCAGAAATGCACACTTCTACTGGGAGTGGATCGGGCACCATGACCCCTCCCGTGTGCAGGCTCCCCTCACACTCTGCCTTGCTTGATGCAACCCCTTGGCCCAGCTAAACTGATATCCCCACTGTGACGGGTCTGGTCACAAAGACCCACTTGGGACTGTCACCTGACGTGCTGGAATTACCTCTGAGCCCATTTCCCTGTCAGTTTGGGACTCCAGAACCCTGCCTTGTTGAGCCACACATGCTTGCCTGCTGCAACACAGACCCAGATCTGGTCCACACCCCCAAAGCTGCAGACTTTAACCAAAAACTGCTCAGCAGGTCACCTATCACCAGCACCCAGACACCCAGCTCCCAATGGGATCCAAACCCCAAATAAATCCGTTTTATTCTGTATAAAACTTATACAGGGTAAACTTGTAAATTGTCTGCCCTCTATAACATGGATAGAGAGATATGCACAGCTGTTTGCTCCCCCAGGTATTAATAACTTACTCTGGGTTCAATAATAAAGAAAAGTATTTTATGAAGAATAAAAAGGAGGATTTAAGTGGTTCCAAGTAATAACAGACAGAACAAAGTAAGTCACCAAGCAAAATAAAGCAAAAACATGCAAGTCTAAGCCTAATACATTAAAAAACTGTTTATAGGTAAATCTCACCCTCAGAGATGTTCCAATAAGCTTCTTTCACAGACTAGACTCCTTCCTAGTCTGGGTCCAATACTTTCCCCTGGTACAATCCTTGTTAGTTCCAGCAGGCATCTTAGGTGAAAAGCAGGGGCTTTCTCATGACTGTTCTGTTTGTTCTGTTCCACCCCCTTTTATAGCTTTGGCACAAAGCGGGAATCTTTTGTCTTTCTGGGTCCCCACCCCTCCTTCTAAATGGAAAAGGATCAGGTTTAAGATGGATTACAGTTCAGGTGACATGATCACATGTCATTGTAAGACCTCCTGGTGGACAGCTACACAGGAAATGGGTCCCCTGTAGGTAAACAGACCCATTCGCAGTTTATTGATTCTAAAGCACCCTTAATGGCTTCCACTTAATATGTTTACATCAGTAATACAAGTTTATGTTTTATTCTCCTAACTCCAGACATAGAAATAATACATGCAAACAAACAGGATGAACACACTCAGTAGATTATAAATTTTGTAATGATACTTTACAAGAGACCTTTTGCATAAAGCATATTCAAGTTACATTATATTCACACTCATAAGCATATTTCCATAAAACATTATGGAGTGAAGTGTCACACCCACCCTCTATGTGCCATGCCCAGTCAGACCCCTGGGCCTTGCTACTCCACCCCCACCTCAGAACCAATGACCTTGAGTCAGAAATATAAACCAAGAGCCCCAATTTGTCCAGCTCCAATTCCATCACTGGAAGTGTTTAAGAACAGGTTGGACAAACACCTGTCAGGGCTGGTCTAGGTTAACTAGGTCCTGCCTCAGCACAGGGGACTGGACTCGATAACTGCTCATGGTCCCTTCCAGCCTGACATTTCTATTGTTCTTAATCCCTAAAATTACCTCTACAGATTTGCAGGCTTCCCCTTCACTTCCTGTCTGGAAATGTTTAGGATTGCTGTGCACTGTTAGCAGGTGAGTTCCAGCTCAGCAGCAGCAGCATTTCCCCTCTGCAGCTACTTAGTAAAACTCTTCAGGTGGGGGGAAAAGAAAGGAAATTTTTAAATCAGCAGGTCTAGAGAACTTGCATCTAAGAGTTTTAAAAGAGCTGGCTGAGGAGACCATTAATGAAGATTTTTGATCACTCGTGAAGACTGAGGAAGTTCCAGAAGACTAGAAGAAAACTAATTGTGTCCCAATGTTTAAAAAGGGTAAACGGAATGACCTTGGTAATCAGCCAGACATTGATCCTGGGCAAGACCAGGGAGCAGCTGATATGGGACTTGATTAATAAATAACTAATGAAGAGTACTATGATTAATGCAAATCAACATGGGTTTACGGAAACTAGATCCTGCCAAACTAATCTGATATTTGTGTAATGAGCTTACACGTTTGGTTGATAAAGGTAAAAGTGCTGATGTAACACACTGCGAATTCTGCAAGGTGTTTGACCTGGCATGACATTCTGATTAAAAATATCCAGTGGCTGGACGTTGAAGCTAGACAAATTCAGACTGGCAGTCAGTCTTGCATCCCAATCAGAGAAAAGCCCAAGCCCTGAAAAGTCTCTTGTACTGTACTTGGTAGCAGCTCGCCTCCTTGCCCACAGGTGTCATGCCCCCTCTCTCGCTAGGTATGATCTAAGGAAACAAAAGCCAGAGGGACTTTCCCGAGCTGAGCTCCATCAACACAAAGCAACACGGTCTAGTTGCAAGCAAGTTTCAGGTTGAGCGCCTCAATGCCATCTACGGGATTTAGGTGCATGTCTGCACTAAAATTAATGGAAGATCTACCTCAGAGTCCTAAAGTCTCCTAGGGGATTTGGATGCTGAAGTCCCACTAATTTTAAATGGGGTTTGGGGCAGCTGACTGCCTTAGGCTGGGGAAATCTCAACCCTCTAAGGTTCTGCCGTTTCCTTGTCAGGTTCTTTACAATACAAGAGTTTCCAGGCTGGTCTGAATTTGAACCAGCTGAGACTTTGGCCCCTCACCTCTCTGTACTTGGCCATGAAGCTTAGGTAAGAGTCACCACAGGACCCACAACATTGCTCCACGGAAAGCACCCTGTGACATTCCCACCTCTCCATGCAATGAAGCCCAGAAATATCCCCCACCCATTTCAGGGGGGTCCCACTATAAAGCAATTTATCTGGGGATTTTTCTAAGGGGCCCAAAGGAATTAGGTGCCCAGTTCGAGTCTCGCTCCCTTTGGAAATTCCAGCACTGGCGGCCGGATGCTCAGCGGGTGTAAAGCTGATGTCAGGCTCCGCCGTGGAGCTATGGTGACCTATGTACGCTGAGGGTGTTGGCCCTGTGTCTGTTTCACTCTGAAGGCCCCATAGATGCTCCCTGGTGTCACCCTCTTGGGTTCCCGCATACATGGTCTGGGGAGCCAGGGGTCCCCCTTCCTCCAACCTTCATGGTCACAGGTGGCACAGCAGGGGGGCCCAGAAGCACTGCAGGGTGCATAGGCTACCCCTCCCCCCACCACCGCCCCCAGCCAGGCATCGCTTGGATTTTACAGCTCAAAGCAGATAGGGAAGGACAATAAAATGGGGAAGGGTGGGCTCAGAGCTAATCCCCGCAAACGCAGGGCAGGGGGTGCTGCAGAGACAAATCTCCCAATTAACTCCCTCCAATCCAGGCTGCAAATCAGTTCAAACTGCTTAGATCAAGACCAAAATCTGTCCATTTAAACCATTAAATCACTCAAAGAGAATCTCCAGTTAAACTGCAGCGCCCCTCCTCATCTGCTAGGGGCCAAGGGAGGCAGTTTCCCCCCACCCCTGACTTTTCATAGGTCTACAGTCCCCCTCCAGCTGCTGCAGAATACAATACAACCCCAGACAGTGGCCTCTGTACTGATGGAATTTTGCCCCCACCCCCAAGTTTTTCTAAATCCCTGGATTCACGCCCCTCCCCGTTTGCAAAGAATATTTGCAGGTAAAGTGGTTTGGCCCCCTCATACCCAGTTTGAAAGCAGATTTCCAGTGCGTTAAATTGCCTCAGGCTCCCGCTTTTGCAGATAAAATTTCCCTGTAAATTATTTTAGGCAGCAACTCCCCCCGCCCCAGCCGTTCCTTCAGTTTGCAAAAAAAAAAAGTTTGCCAAGAAGATCCCAGGGAAATTGCCTCCGCCCCTCTCCCTTTGCAAAAAGAGTTTTCACTTACATTGGCTCCCCTCCCATGCTACTCCCCACTTTGCAAAGAAAAAGAAAAGGAGTACTTGTGGCACCTTAGAGACTAACCAATTTATTTGAGCATAAGCTTTCGTGAGCTACAGCTCACTTCATCGGATGCATACTGTGGAAAGTTTAGAAGATCTTATTATATACACACAAAGCATGAAAAAATACCTCCTCCCACCCCACTCTCCTGCTGGTAATAGCTTATCCAAAGTGACAACTCTCCTTACATTGGTATAATAATCAGGGTGAGCCATTTCCAGCACAAATGGGATTTGTGCTGGAAATGGCCCACCTTGATTATCATACACATTGTAAGGAGAGCGATCACTTTAGATAAGCTATTACCAGCAGGAGAGTGGGGTGGGAGGAGGTATTTTTTCATGCTTTGTGTGTATATAATAAGATCTTCTAAACTTTCCACAGTATGCATCCGATGAAGTGAGCTGTAGCTCACGAAAGCTTATGCTCAAATAAATTGGTTAGTCTCTAAGGTGCCACAAGTACTCCTTTTCTTTTTGCGAATACAGACTAACACGCCTGTTACTCTGAAACCTTTGCAAAGAAAATGTCCAGTTAAATTGGCTCCCCCATAATTTGCAGGGAGAAGCCGGTTAAATGGCTGCAAAGGCAGGAGTTGATGGCTACAAGCAAGGCCCCGAAAAAAATCAAACGCACCGCCTCGCCAGGTGGGTACCCTAATCCAGATTAACCCTCCCAGACAGCTACCCTAATCCGGATTAACCCGCCCAGGCAGTTCCCTTTTGCACAGGGCTGGATTCCGAACCAGCCCCTCCCCCAGAGAGAAGCGAGCGGGTCCGCGGCGCTCCGAACGGCGAGAGAATACGCAAAAAGCCATGGAACGGTAGGGGAGGGAAGGAAGAGGGCGGGACGAGCAGACATTGGACCAATCAGCCCCATGAGAGGCGCAGGTAGTGCAGTACTGCACCCTCGTCTCGAGCCCAAGACACTGGCCGCCCCGACCCATCGCGTGGGCCCCGCCCATCCATAGCGGGCTGGCCCAATCGTCACTCCTTCCGCGGCATTCGACCTCCTCATTTGCATAGCAGCCCGCGATTGGTCCCCAGGCGTGGCCCGGCTCTCTCGCCTCCCAATTGGCTAGCCGCTCCGGCGGCCGTGCGTTGGAGGCGGGGCCGTGGGTGTTCCAAGATGGCGGCACACGCGGCGGCCGGGCGGGTGCGGAGGTTTTGGGGACTTTGCGGCGGCCCCTCCCCGCTCAGGGTGAGTGACCCCCCCCGCCCGGGTTCTGGTGAAGAGCCCTGAGGGGATTTGCGTAAAGGGCGCGTGCAGCGTCTCTCTGGGGCGGCTTCGGCACCAACGGCGGTTGGGGGGAGCAGAGCATGTGACCAGTTCAGTCCCCCCCCCCCCAGTCCCCTGGCCATAAGCCCCGCCCCATGGCCTCTAAGGAGATCCGACCCTTCTCCAACTAGCCGCCTCGCCCTACAACTCCTGGGCCATATGGCCCCAAATGGACCACCCCTCCCCCCAGGCCATATAACTGTCTGGGCCTAGGACCCTGTCAGGACTGCCTCCCAGAGCCAACCCGCTGCCGCAGGCCATATAGCCTTGTATAGACCAGCCCCTCAGGCCTTATGCTCTCCCCCAACCATATAACCCTGTACAGACCAGACCTCCCCCCCCACGCCATATAACCCCATATGGACCAGACTCCCCTCAGCCATGTAACGCTGTCCAGACCAAATTCCTTAGGACCATATAACTCCTGATGACGACCAGAATGTGGGGGTTAAAGGATGGGATGGATCGTCTTGCTCATTCCCTCTGACGCACCTGGCATTGGCCACTGTCGGAGGACAGGATACAGGGCTAGAGGGACCATTGGTCTGACCCAGTATAGCCGTTCTTATGTTCTCATAACAATATAGCCATGTAGGGACCAGCCCCGCTCCCATATAACCCCCCACTAGGGTTGCCAACAGTCTCTTACTACAAGGCCCCCCCCCCCCCTTATTTTGTACAACAAGATTGGAAGTTTCTTAGTTCTGCAAAAAGTAGAAAGAGATACCCCATGTGAATGTAGGTGAGTCCTGCTTAGTAGGATTATTATTAATAATAATGATAAAAACAATATTGGGAGAAGGGGTGGGGTTACTAAGAAAACAGTTCCCTATTTTTGAAATACAATGTTGGTAATTGTACCCCCGCCCCCGCCACCATAAAACCTTGTATGGACCAGGTGCCCAGGCCATATAACCTCCCCCTGGGCAAATAACCCCATATGGACCAGATTCTCCCCAGTTATATTACACCATATAAGAACATAAGAATGGCCCCCTACTGGGTCAGACCAAAGGTCCATCTAGTCCACTATCCTGTCTTCCAACAGTGGCCAGTGCCAGGTGCCCCAGGGGGAATGAACAGACCAGGTAATCTTCAAGTGATCCATCCCTTGTCATCCATTCCCAGCTTCTGGCAAAACTGATGCTAGGAACGCCATCCCTGCCCATCCTGGCTAATAGCCACGGATGGACCTATTATCCATGAATTTATAGACCTCAATCATATCCACCCTTAGTCGTCTCTTTTCCAAGCTGAAAAGTCCCAGTTTTATTAATCTTTCCTCGTACGGAAGCCTTTCCATACCTCTAATAATTTTTGTTGTCCTTTTCTGAATCTTTCCCAATTCCAATATATCTGTTTTGAGATGGGGTGACCACGTCTGCACGCAGTATTCAAGATGTGGAGGTACCATGGATTTATATAGAGGCAACATGATATTTTCTGTCTTATTATCTATCCCTTTCTTAATGATTCCCAACATTCTGTTAGCTTTTTTGACTGCTGCTGCACATTGAGTGGATCTTTTCAGAGAACTATCCACAGTGGACAAGATTCTTCTTCTTTGGGCTGTACTAACCCGCTATGGACCAGCTCCCACTCCCCAAACCATGTAATACCTTACAAAAAATGGAAGCAAAAGTACAGTATCAATATATTAAGCAAAACCAAGGGCACATTGGTGATGTTGTAATTGCATTCAGATAGGCATGACATTAAGTGAGTGTGTACAACTAATAATATCCTGAGAAGTATATAAGGAATGCATGTCATGTATCAGGGGGTAGCCATGTTAGTCTGTATCCACAAAAACAACAAGGAGTCCGGTGACACCTTAAATACTAACAGGGGCATAAGCTTTATTTGGGCATAAGCTTTCGTGGGTAAAAAACCCACTTCTTCAGATGCAATAAGGAATGCATTGCATGCAAAGTAAAAGTGGCCTTAAGTGATATGGAGCAAGGAAACTTGCTGTCTTGAATTGACTCATGCTGGCCCTGGTCTTGCTTGGAGTAGCAGATGGATTTGCCTGGGTGTCGGTTCACTTTGGGGGAGCAGGCAGGGCCGTCCCTACCCATACGCAAAGTACGCAACTGCTTAGGGCACCAATGCTGCTCCAGACTCTGCCCCACCTCTTCCCCATGGCCTCCGCCCCAGCCCCACCCCCACTCCACCCCTTCCCCAAGTTCCCCATCGCTGCTTCGCCCCCGCCCTGCCCCTTCCTGCCCCCATTCCCCTGAGGACTGCAGCAGGGGCGGGCCTGCACTCACCGGCGGCAGGAAGTGCAGTAACCCGGCCCTAGCTGCGCCGCTGGTGAGTGCTGGGGGCGATTCCTCCCTGCCCCCTAAGCCAGCCCTGCCCCCCCAGCAGAGGCCTGGGGCCAGCCCCCCCCCGCCCCGAGGCCTGCCCCCCTCACCCTCCCTGCGGGGGGCAGGGGCTGCATAGGGCACTAGAATAGTGATGGCCCTGGGAGCAGGCTCCACATTGGGACGTTAGTAAAGTGGGAACTGCCCATGCTGGTGATAACAAGTATTGTGGGATGGCTGTTGAGGGCCGCTCCTGGAATAGAGCCAAGGAACATTATTTTTCTTGGCCTGCGCTTTGGTTCATGTCAAAATGTCCAGTGGTGACAGATCAAAAGATTTTGCTGTTTTGGAGCAGTTTGTCATGGTGTGATGAAAAGAAAAGCCCAGGTGAAATTACAGCAGGATGCTTTGCAGGCAGAGCAAGTGTACAGTGTGGGTTCGGGGCTGGACCTTAGGAGGTGGGCAGGCAGCCCCTGCCTCGTACTTTGAGCTTGGGGTTAATGGTGGTGGAAATGATTAGAGTGACTGTGGACTTGGGAATATGTTGCTGAGCAGAGACCTTAAAAAGGAAGGCGCAGGAGGACGGGGACACGGTGCCAGTGAAACGTAAGCTAATGGAGGAAAGGCAAACAAGGGGTGCAGCCCGACGTGAGTAATGGGACATGGATGATGTTGGACTTTGGCCCCATTTGGAGGCAGGATTAGGGAGGTCAGGTGGTCTGGGAGCAGAATCTTGGTGCTGGCTAAGATAAGGGGAATGCCCAGGGAGCCGTTTACAGCGGATAAGATATGCCTGGGTCGTAACCTGAGATGGAGTGTAAGTCGTCCATGGACAGCGCGTGCTGGACAGGGATTGGTTCCTCCAGGTTGCCCAAGCCAATCCCCAACACGATGCAATGCGGCCAGTGCAGCGTGATGGGCCAGTGGGGCTAACGCACGAGGGAGCTCTGCTCCCCTTTTCCACCCCTACCACGTAACTCCGTATGTCCCATCTTGCCCCATGCCATATGACCAGGTAATGACCAGCTTTCCTCCTTCAGCTCCCCACTCTAAATGTGACTGTATCGCTCTGTAAAACCATATACACCCATTTCTGACATTGCCACCAACCCAGACCCATTGGAGCCTGGGGCCATGGTCCTGCTCGGGCTATATAACCCCATATGGATTATCCTACCTACTATTACTATCCTCTAATCATATAGAGCCTGCTGCTGTGCATCCTGCTGGGCAATATCCCCCATATGGCCCTGCTACCCTCACTGCCCACTGGCTAAGCCATATAGCCCCATGTGGACCTTCCCATGTAGGCCATATAGGCCTGCCCTGCTCTCCTGATGGCTCTCTCCCCGCTCAGGCCTTCGCCACCATCATCCCAAGGGTTTCCCAGGTGGACAACTCCTCTGACTTTCTGGGCAACGTCCCCCACCGCCGGCACCCAGGGGTGCTGCATCTCAGGAGTGTCCGGCTCCCGGCCGAACTGGTGAAGGCTGCCCAGCTGCTGGTGGAGCGTAAGTAACCACTGGGTGCGAGGGGGCTCGGTGCTGCAAGAAGCAGGGTGAGGGGCTCAGTAGGAGTACTCTCTCCTTGCACTACTGTTACTCAGGTGCCCTGCCCCAGAGCTGGCTGCATCTCAGCTCAGGGCGAGCCATCCCCATGTGGTGTCGTGCAGCTGTTACCCAGCTGCTCTGTCCCAGAGCTACTGCATCTCTGTGCCAGGCAAGTCATCCCCACGTGGTGTTATGTGCAGCTGTTTCCCACCTGCCAGACCCTGGAGCTGGGTACGTCTCAGCACTGGGTGAGCCATCCCCATGTGGTGGTATGTGCGGCTGTTACCCAGCTGCTCTGCGCCAGAGCTGGGCTGCACCTCAGGACCAGTGATCCCTGCTCTGTTCAGCATGACGGGCTTCTCACTGGGCCCATCGTATCTCATTCATCCCCCACCAGAGTCCACCGTGCATGGGCTGAAGGACCAGGTTGTGTCCCTGACCAACTACCTCTGGAGCCGGAAGCGCCCCCTGGAGGCCAGCGAGCTGCAGAGGAGAGGGCAGCAGCTGGAGCAGCAGCTGAGGGAGAAGGTCCAGCCCCGCACAGCAGGTGAGCGCAAACTGGGGGACAGGATGGGGAGAAACCAGCTGGGTGAAGAGGCTCTCCCCATGCAGTCAGTGCTGGCCCCAGTGCCCCACAGTGCTGCGGGGTGCAGGTCCGGCGGGGGGCGCTCTCCTCACTCAGTGTTGGTCTCTGCTTGGTCTCCCCCAGCCTTCTCTATGCTTAACCCTGTCTCTCTCTGTCAGACGCATCCAGCCCCCTGACCGACGCTGAGGCGGAGAAGCTGCAGAGGAGGGTGCTGAACAGGCTTCGAAAAACCACCTATCACTGGGAGGCACTGAGGTGACACCCTCTCGGGGTTGTGATGGGTCTCCTGCAGTGCTGAGATGCAGCCAGCTCTTGTGTAGGGCAGCTGGGGAACAGCTGCACAGTGACGCCAAACAAGGATGGCTCACCCGATACTGCGATGCGGCCAGCTCTGGGGTGGGGTGGAGCATCTGTTTACCAGCCCAACATTTTGGCAGGCAATGAAGGAGGTCACACAGGAATGCCTCAGCCAGTGCTGAGATGCAGCAAGTTCTGAGGTGGGGAAGCTGGGAACAGATGCACAGCAATGCCACACAGGGACATCTCGCCCACTTCTGAGATGCAGCCAGTTCAGTGGTGGAGCATCTGTTTATCAGCCCCAAATTTTGGCAGGCAGTGAAGGAGGTCACACGAGAATGCCTTTCCCAGCACTGAGATGCAGCCAGTTCTGGGGTGGAGCAGCTGGGTAATAGCCTCATGGCAACGCCACAAGGGGATGACTCACCAGAGCTAAGGTGCAGCCAGTTCTGGGGTGGGGCACGACATCTGTTTACCAGCCCCAGTTTCTGGCAGGCAGTAAAGGAGGTCAGCACTCGCTCTGGGGTATGTGTGGGGGGTCAGCGCCCCCAACCGACATGCTCTGTGTGTTTTTCCCGTCCCAGGTATACAGACGAGCTGAGTCTTGTGTACATGGTAGCTCGGCTGGATGGGGGGTTTGCGGCTGTGTCCAGAGCCTTCCATGAGGTGAGAGACTGTGCTAAGCACTAGAGCCCACTCCCCTCCCAGAGCTGGGGACAGAACCCAGGAATCCTGGCTCCCAGCCCCAATTGCTCTAACCACGAGAACCCACTCCCTTCCCAGAGCTGGGGATAGAACCCAGGAGCTAAGTTTCCTCTAAGCTCTGTGGCCATGCAGCTGCCTATTAAGCCCCGTGCAGGGGCCCAGGGCAGCGGTGGGGAGAGGTGCCTCTCCCCCAGTGTGGACCTGCCGGGGGAGAGGTGACCCTCCCCTCCGACCCCAGCACGGAGCTGCCCCAGACTTGCCACGGCCGGGGGAGAGGAACCTCTCCCTCGGCCTGACCTAGCCCAGCCCCGCTGGGGCTGCCCCAGCCGGGGAAAGGTGCCTCTGCTGTGGCGAGAGGGGGCTGGGGGGAGTCCTCTCTCTCCCTGGGGCAGCCTGCACCCCAAACCTCTCATTCCCGGCTCTACCCCAGAGCCCACACCCCAACTTTCTTCCCCAGCCCTGAACCCCCTCCCGGACCCCAAACCCCTCATCCCCAGCCCCATCCCAGAGCCAGCAACACCAGCCAGAGCCCTCACCCCCAACCCTCTTCCCCAGCCCTGAGCCCCCTCCCACACTTCAAACCCCTTGGCTCCACCCCTACCACATGAATTTTGTTATGTGCACCAGTATGAAGGTGAAGTGTAACACGTCAGATCCATATTGGTGCACATAATAAAATTCATTCCGCACATGGGCTTAAAAAAATAGTCCTGGCTCCCAGCCCTAACCACTAGCCCTCACTCCCCCCATAGCTGGGGCTAGACCCCCGCAGTCCTGGTTCCCAGCCCCCCCCCCTCTAACCACTAGCCCCTGCTCTCTGAAGGGAGGTAGTCCCGCTCTCCGCCTGTGGTCTACGCGGAGCTGTGCTGGGGCTGATGTGGTTTCTCTTTGCTCTGCTCCCTAGATCCAGAAGCGGGTTCCAGCCTTTGCCCCTCGCACCCTGCTGGATTTTGGCTCTGGGACAGGCTCCGTCAGCTGGTGAGCCTCTGCCCTGCAGGGGGGATATTTCCTGTGGTGCTGGGAGCGCTGCTGGTGTCTCATGCTCCCCCCTCTCTGTGCAGGGCCGCACATGGTGCCTGGGGCCAGACCCTGTGTGAATACTTGTGTGTCGACAGCTCCGCCCCTATGCTGGCCCTCGCTGAGCGGCTGCTGCAAGGTGAGGCCTCCAGGGGCACTGCTGAGTGCCCAGCCAGGGCTGGTAGGGCCCCAGTTCTAACTGCTAGACCCCTCTGCCACCCCAGAGCTGGGGAAGAACCCAAGAGTCCTGGCTCCCAAGCCCTCCAACCACTAGACCCCCCCTCTCCTCCCAGATCCAGGGATAGAACCCAGGAGTCCTGGCTGCCAGCACCTCCCCCCCGCCCCACGCCACGCCACTCCACTAGACCCCACTTTCCTCCCAGAGTCAGGGATAGAACCCAGGAGTCCTGGCTGCCAGCACCCCCCTCCCCTCCCACGCCACGCCACTCCACTAGTCCCCTCTGCCACCCCAGAGCTGGGAAGAGAACCTGGGAGTCCGGGCTGCCAGGCCTTTCTTCCATCACTCTCTCATTCCATTGCCCCCTGTCCTGTCTTCTCTCCCTCTCGGTGACCCCCACCTTGATGTCTCTCTGTCCGTCCCTCCCTGCTCCAGGTGGCTCTGAGTCCCCCCGGGCCCCACTCTTTCCAGGCGTCTATTTCCGGCAGTTCCTCCCCGTCTCGCCCAAGGTAAAGGGCCCTGCCTGTAGGGGTGGCAGAGAGGGGCTGATAAAGAGGCAGTTGGGTCTAGGGGGGAGCACTGGGGGGTCCAGTGCTTTGCAGGGAAGCCTGGAGGTGGGGGTGTACGTGTTGTTAGATTCTGGCTTGCCAGGGCTGCCTGCCTGGCGCCATCCCACATTGCTTTGCTGTTCTGTTGGGGAGGCAGCATCAGAATGCGGCTGGCTCTGGGGTGGGGGACAGGAGCAGCATGAGGAAGAAGGGGCAGGTCAGAGAGGCTGGGAGCTGGGGCGTTCTCCAGTGCCGGGGGGAGGTCTCCGGGGATCTGCCCCACCCCAGCCAGGGTCTGATCTCCCCCTCTCGCCCACATCCTGTGTCTCCCCCTGCACTTGCAGGTGAAGTTTGACCTGGTGGTCTCAGCCTTCTCCCTGAATGAGCTGCCCAGCCTGGCCGAGCGCAGGGAGACCATACAGACACTGTGGAGGAAGACGGACGGCTTCCTGGTGAGTGACCCCCCTGCCCCTCTGGCCCCCCGCCCGGAGTCCCCCTCCCCTCCCTCAGATTGGCCCCCCTGGCCCGGAGTCCCCCTCCTCTGCCCTCCACTGGATTGGCCCCCCTGGCATCCCCCTCCCATCCCCGGATCGGTCCCTCTGCCCCCTCACCCAGAGTCCCCCTCCCCTCCCCTGGATCGGCCTCTTGGTCCTCAGATCGACCCCTCTCCCCCTCCCTCCCAGAGTCTCCCTCCCTTCCCCGGATTGGCCCCTCGGCCCCCCCCAACCCGGCTCCCCCCCCTGCCTCCCAGTTTGGCCCCCCCACGCCCAGTCTCTTCCCCTCCCTCCAAGATCAGACCCTCTAACTCCCAATCCCTTCCAGGTGCTGGTGGAGAACGGGACCAAAGAGGGGCACCAGATGCTCATGGAGGCGCGAGAGATCATCCTGGGGGTGAGGGGACCCTGCTCCTTCCCTGGGGCTGTGGCGGGTACCCCCTGCGATCCCCCTCCCCACCCCCAGCAGCTTTGGCAGGCTCCCAGCCACCTGGGGGAAGGGAGAATGGGGAGACAATGGGACCCAGGCGTCTGGGACAGTAACACAAAGCGCTGGGAGGCCCCCAGGGGGAAGGACTGGGAGGCGGCAGTTCAGAGCTCTGCCCCCCAGGGATCCCAGGGGGAGGGTCTGGGATGGAACGGGACCCAGGCGTCCGGGCCGGCAGTGCAGAGGGAACAGGGGGTGCAGCTGGTTCCCTTTGGGCTCTAACTCCTCTCCTCTCGGCCAACAGGGGGGCGACAAGGTGGTGCATGACCCACGGGAGGCTCACGTCTTCGCCCCAGTGAGTATCGGCGGGGTGGGGGGAGCAGGCCGAGGCCTGCAGGGTGGCCGGAGGGAGTTGGGTGGGCGGCCTGAGGCCAGTTTGGGGGATGGGTCGAGGTTCGGTGGGTGGGGTATGGAGAGGGCAGGCCGAGGCCAGCCAGGTGCCCAGTCAGTGGGCTGTGGGGGGACGTGGGATGCTCTAACGCCAGTCTCTGTCTCCTAGTGCCCGCATCACCTGCCCTGCCCACGGCTGAACCCCAAGCAGCCCCTGCCCTGCAACTACCTCCAGGCCTACCACCCCCTGCCCTTCCGCTGGGTGAGTGCCCCTCCCGCCAGGCAGCGGGGTGTATGGGGAGCTGTGGTGGGATTGGCCCCAGGGTGGGGACTGCCTGGCTGCAAGGGTGGGGAACGGGCCGGAGCCAGCCGCAGGGCGGAGGGGTTGGGGGAGGCGGATGCAGGGGGCTCTGCAGGGGACCCCGGCTCACCCCCTGCCCATGTGCCGTTGCAGAACCCAGCACTGAAGGAGGAGTTGTTCTCCTTCCTGATCCTGCGCCGGGGGCCAGGGGCGGGCGAGGAGCCCTGGCCCCGCATCACCCAGGCCGTCCTGGGCCGGGTCCAGCATGTCCATTGCCATCTGTGCTGTGCCGACGGGAGCCTGCAGCACGCCGTGATCACCGCACGCCGGCACGGCAGGTACCACTCTGCCAAGGGCCCGGGATGGCCTGGCTGGCTCAGGGGGGCAGGGAATGGGGGCACGGGCCTTTCTCCTCTAGGGGGCGCTGGCTCCCATCTGGCCCCAGGGCAGGGACTGGCTGGCTCGGGGGGTGGGGAATGGGATACAGGGCATTTCCCCTCTAGGGGGTGCTGGCTCCCATCCAGAGCCGGAACTTGCTGGCTCGGGGGTCCGGACTCATCACCATGCCCTCTTCCCACAGGGATCTGTATCGCTGCGCCCGGCTGAGCCATTGGGGGGATCGGCTACCCGTGACGACGCCCCATGGAGAGGCCGTTCCGGGGGAGTAACCCTCCAGCCCATTCCCGGGGGCAGATGCTGAGCCCCCGAGGTCTCGCTGCGATCTGTCGCCCAACCCTCCTGGGCATTGACATGGGGACAGTGGCAGGGAGCACCCTAGTGGATTGGCACTGGGTTGGGGGGGTCTTCTGATGGCCCCCGTCGCCTGTGGCACTGGAGGTGCAGGTGCTGCCTCCATTGAACAGCGGGGACCCAGTAGGACTCCTGGGTTCTCTTCTGCAGCTGGTGGCTCCCCAGCTCCCAGGTTGGGTCCAATAAAGAGAGCCTGAAACAGTCCACCAGCTTTGGCGTCAGTTACCGTGCAGGGTTAGACTGGCAGCAGCCTGGGAGTCAGGACTCCTGGGTTCTCTCCCCAGCTATGGGAGGGGAAGGGAGGGGAGTATAGTGGTTAGAGCAGGGGGGCTGGGAGCCAGGACTCCTGGTTCTGTTCTCTCACTGTGTCCCATCCCCTTGTGGGTCTCGGTTTCCTCCTGTGGGCAGCCAGCCCTCCCTCTCGCCTGGCAGTGAGCATGCCCCGCACACTGGGCACAGTGTGTGCTGGGCTCGAGGAGTTACCACTTGCTGCCATTGCCATAGCTTGGGTCAGGGAACGGGCTCAGCTGGTTCCATGGAGCCCCTGGGCGTGACCCAGCTGTGTGCATAGGCTTGGCATGCAACCACGGGGCTGAAAGGGGGGACCTGAGCTCTGTGTGGGCCCAGCTCCCTGCGGGACAGCGCTGCCTGCCGCCCCCCACCCTGTTCCATGTAGAGCCCCCACCCGGCAGACCCCACCCTGCTCCCTGCAGGACCCCCCCCCCCCATGGGATAGTGCCCTTTGTGGGCCCCCATCCTGCTCCCTATGGGACAGTCTCTCTTGCAGGGCCCCCACCCGCACCATGCAGACTCCCCACCCTGCCCCCTGCAGGACAGTGCCCCCTGCGGGGCCCCCCATCCTGCTCCCTGTGGGGCTCCCACTCTGCAGCACTGCACCCCCTGCAGACCTCCATCTTGCTCCCTTCGGGGCCTGAGCCTACTCCCTACGGGACAGCCTCCCCTGAAGACCCCCCCCCCTCTTTTTTTTTTTGCGTGCCGGGCGCTGGGCCCCCGAGGACAGCCTGTTGGATCCAGCACCTGTTCCTGCTCCTTGTGGGACAACCTCCCCTGCGGCCCCCCACCCTGTTCTCTGCGGGGTCCCAAACCTGCTCCCTACAGGACAGCGCCCCCCATCCTGCTCCCTAGGGGGCTCCCAAACTGCAGCACTGCACCCCCTGCAGACCTGCTCCCTGTGGGACAGCCTCCCCTGCGGAGTCCCCACCCTGCTCCCTGCAGCCCAGCGCCCCCTAGCACCATACTGGGGCTGTGATGCCAGGACTGCCTGCTAGGGGAGAGCATCCCCTACTGAGTCCCCACCCCAGTCCTTGCACCTCAGTGCCCCCTACCTAGTGCCATACTGGGAGCGTGGGACCAGCGCTGGCTGCCAGGGGACGCTGACGGTTACGCAGCGTCAGGGCTGTGGCCCATGGGCTGCTGCTGGTGGTGCTGGGAAATGCTCCGTTTAGAGTAAACAGCGGGTGAAGGGCCAGGGTGTGTTTCAGGAGCCAAGCTGCAGCCAGGTGCTGACACCATCACAGGAGCTCAGGAAGTGCTGTCTGGGACCCAGGCGCAGGGCGTGGGGACCAGCTGGCTTAGTGGGGTGGGGAATGGAAGATGGGGCTGGGACACCGTCTGGTGTCTGTCCCCAGTGCGGGGGTCAGGGGCTGGGAACAGGGCATGGGGCCTCTTCCTTCTAGGAGATTGTTATCTGGCCCAGTTTGTGACCAAACTTCCCAGCATTGCCTGGCCAGTAACGAAGCTCGAGGTGTCCTGCGGCAGTGGGGGCAGTATGGTGAGATTAGTCTGGTATGTGTGTGACTCGGCCCCACTCACTGTGCAGGCTGTGTGTGAAGGGCTGAATTTCTCCTGGAGGGAGCGGGGAGAGAAGGGTCACACAGGCAGCAATGCACTACCTAGAACTGTCCCCATGTCACTGGAGAACAAAGGACTGGCCGGTAACTCAGCAACAGAGACCCCATGGAGCCCGCTGGGTAGCTACGGGGCCGGGAGGTGGGAGCCAGCTGGGATCCGAGGCTCTGGCTGCTCAGGGCCGGGGCAGCGAGGGGGAGGCTGGGTTTGGGAGAGGCAGGGCAGCCAGTGCCCCTCCCAGTTAACACTGACTTTAGGCCCCTTCAGCCCAGGTTGCGGGTGAGTAGAGGCGGATGTCTTGGTTTGCCAGGCTGGCCTTTGCCATTGCAGATACCTGCTGGTGGCATCTCTCCCGAGGGCCTGCTGGGCAGCCAGGGGGAGAAATGGGTGCTGTATCCGGCGGGCTGTCCTCGGGGGCCCAGCACTCGGCACACCAGAAGAGGGCACTGCTGCAGAGACGGCTGGCCACCCCTGTGAATCCAGGCCGGGCAGCTGGTAGAGGTGGAGGGCTGACCAGGCCCCGGGAGGCTGTATGTTTGAGGTCTCTCCATCCTCACCCCGCTTGGGGCCCGGGAGATGCTGATCCAGCACCGTCCAGCTTGGCACCAAACCCCTCAACAGTTGGAAAATCCCCCCAGGCCAGGGCCTGCTGGGTATTAGAGAGGGATAGGTGTTCAATACAAGCATATCTAAGCTACTAGGAATGCAGCCGGTGACCGGGGAAGTGGTGGGGAAAAGTGCTCTTGGGAAATGTTTACCCAATAAATTATTTAATGATGGTGTAATTAAGATTGAAGGATGTGCGGGGGTGGGGAGGTGGCTCCCTGCTCCCGGGAGGTTATTATTCACTGCGGGGCTGGGAGGCGCTGGGGAAGGTGGCAGGAGCTGAGCAGGAGAGGGAGCGAGGAGCAGCAGAGATGCAGTGAAAGGAAGGGGGACAGGGGAAGGCAGAGGGGCAGATGGAGTGAGGTAGACGGGAAGGGAGGAGGATGCCCAGGGAACCGGGGACGGCCTGACCCATCCCCGTGCAGCACAGCATCTCCCACTGATTCCTGGGACTTGGAAGGGTCCCCGGCCAGGCCTGGGTTCGGCTGAGGGCCTGGCTTTGGCTGTGGCTGCCTAGGATTAGGGTTAGGGTCATCTGTGGTGGGGGTCTCCCTATCGTGGGACCGGTTAGGCGAGGGAGGACAGGAGAGGGCTGGGGCTAGCAGGGCATTGTGGAGGAGGGGCTGTAGGGTGTGAGCCCAGGGTAACGCCCAGCTGTATTGCACGACCCGGCCCTCCTGGTGCCTGCGCGGATGGAGCCACTCCTGGTGGTGAAGATCGGCTGCCTGGTGGCTCTGCTGTTCATCACCCTCGTCTGCGGCCTCATCCCGGCCCAGGTCAAGTGGTTCCAGATCAAAGCGGCCAAAGGTGAAGAGGGGCTGGGGCTGGGACAGCGGCTTTGCATCCACATGACGGGGGTGGGGCGCGCTGGGTATCCCCATACGCACCCCTTTGCTCCTCTATCGTCTATCTCCATAGACACCGCTCTGCTCCTCTGTCATCTATCCCCACAGACACCCCTCTGCTCCCCTATCATCTACCTCCACAGACACCCCTCTGCTCCCCCTATCATCTATCCCCATAGACACCCCTCTGCTCATTCTATCTATCTATCTATCTATCTATCTATCTATCTATCTATCTATCTCTTGCTGCTCCTCGCTCTCATTCTCTATCCGTGTATCTGTCTGTCTGGTGCTTCCCCTCCCCTATCCCCTGCAGGCTTCTAGCTCCCAGAGCAGGGGCAACCCCCTTAGTAAATAAGACAATGGGGCAGCTGCAGGCATGAATGATACCTCCACCCTGCCCCATCCCCATCACTGCCTCTCCGTGGGGTGAAAGAAACAGCCACACTCAGGGGGCTCTGGCCCCCCTGAGGGAAACCGAGGTTGTGTCTGTCCAACTATGTCCCACTTTCTTAGCCATTGCTTTGCCCTTTTTCTTCTTATCTGTGCCCAGTTCTTCCTCCCTGGGGAACTGTGCTGCTTTCACTCCACCCTCTTGCCAGTTCATTAATCACCCTTGTTCTGTCAGCAGATCTTAAAGCACTTCGCTAAGGAGGTCAGTCTCATTAGCCCCATTGTACAGATGGGGAAACTGAGGTGCAGGGATGCCAAGTGATTTACCAAGCTCACCCAACAGGCCAGTGGCTGAGCCAGAATTGGAACCTGGGTATTCCCGGTGCCAGTCCAGGGCTCTGTGCCTGCTCTTCCTGCCTCTGGCTTTCTCCTGCCCCAGGCTGTGCAGTTCCCCAGTTCGAGACCCACCTCCCAGGCTGGGATCCCCTTGCTCCGCCCTGCCCCGTGGTCTTGGCCTCACCTCAGCCCTCTCCTCCCACAGGGTGGCACCGGCGCATCCTGAGCTACATTGGCTGCTTCGCAGCAGGGGTCTTTCTGGGGGCCTGCCTCATGCACACAGCAGCCGACGCGCTGACAGACATCCAGGGGGAGCTGGGCAAGCGGTTGCAGCAGGTGAGACGGCACAGGGATGCACGGGTTCCCCTTGCTCCAGCAGGGTGGTGCACACACAGCAGGGCCCATCCCCTCCAGCAGGGGGCGCAGGGACACCACACACACACATATGGAGCAGGGCCCGTCCCCTCCAGCAGGGGGCGCAGGGACACACACACACACACAGATCAGGGCCCGTCCCCTCCAGCAGGGGGCGTAGGGACACACCCACACACACCCACACCCACAGAGCAGGGCCCGTCCCCTCCAGCAGGGGGCGCAGGGACACACACACACACACACACACACACACACACACTATATGGAGCAGGGCCCGTCCCCTCCAGCAGGGGGTGCAGGGACGGACACACACACACACACACACACACATATGGAGCAGGGCCCGTCCCCTCCAGCAGGGGGTGCAGGGACACACACACACACACAATATGGAGCAGGGCCTGTCCCCTCCAGCAGGGGGTGCAGGGACAGACACACACACACACACACACACATATGGAGCAGGGCCCGTCCCCTCCAGCAGGGGGTGCAGGGACGGACACACACACACAGACGCAGCAGGGCCCGTCCCCTCCCGCAGGAGGTGTGGGGACACACACACACGGAGCAGGGCCTGTCCCTTTCAGCAGGGGGCGCAGGGACAGCCCTCCAGGTGAATATGGGGTCAGTGCACCGCCTGCCCCCCAGCGCGGTATCTAACTCCCCTTGTTTCCCCACAGGCTGTTGCTGGGCAGAACTGGACGGGGACACAGAACAACTCATCTAGGGCCAGTGCCTGTGGGGCTGAGGTAAGTGCCCCTGACACCTCTTGGCTGGAAGTGCCCCCACTGAGGAGAGGCAGGAAGAGGGCAACTGTGGGGAAAGATCTGTGAGAGCAGAGCCAAGGCAGGGGGAGCGACTGGCCCTTGTCAAATCTCCTCTCCCAGATACAGGGAGAGAAGCCAGGAGTCCTGACTCCCAGTCTCCCCTGCTCTAACTCACTAGACCCTACTCCCCTCCCAGAGCCGGGAACAGAACCCAGGAGCCCTGGCTCCCAGCCCCCCTCTGCTCTAACTGTTTGTCCCCACTCTCTTTGCAGAGCCAGGGAGAGAACCCAGGAGTCCTGGCTCCCAGCCCCTTCCCCCTCTAACCCACTAGACCCCACTCCCCTCCCAGAGCCAGGGACAGAACCCAGGAGTCCTGGCGCCCAGCTCCCTGCTCTAACGACTAGATCCCACTCTCCTAAATAGCCCTCCCTTTGGGACGTGCTCTGTAGGCTACGTGTAGAGGGGGGGAAGGCCGGGCTGGGTGCCTGCATGCGAGTCCCTCTGAAACAAACCATGTCTCTCCCTCCATCTCCCCATCCCTCTCCCCACAGCTGGATTACCCCTTCGCGGAGCTCGTCATCTCCCTCGGCTTCTTCCTCGTCTTCCTCACCGAGAGCCTGGTGCTGCACTGCTGCCACTCGGCTCCACCGTCCCATAGGGCCCCAGACAAGGACCCTGCCTGCTCAGCCCCCAGTGTCCCCTCCGTCCCGCACTCCCATGGGGTCCCGGTGCCTGGTGGCCCCTCACCTGGCTCCTTCCGGGCCCTGGTGCTCTTCATCACTCTGTCGCTGCACTCACTCTTCGAGGGGCTGGCGGTGGGGGTGCAGCAGGGTGAGGCGGGGGCCCTCCAGCTCTGCCTGGCCGTGCTGGCCCACAAGGGCGTGATCGCCTTCAGCCTGGGGCTGCAGCTGGTGCAAAGTGGCACCCGGCCCCGCTGGAGGCTGCTCTACCTGGGTATCTTTGCCCTCATGTCCCCCTCCGGCATGGCCGTGGGCATTGGGCTCTCGCTCTCGGGCGGAGCAGCCAGTGGGCTGACCATGGCCCTGCTGGAGGGGCTGGCGGCTGGCACTTTCCTGTACATCACCTTCCTGGAGATCCTGCCCCACGAGCTGAGCTCCAGTGAGCCGCCCCTGGCCAAGTTCTCCTTCATCGCACTGGGCTTCACTGTCATGGCCACCATCGCTGTCTGGGCCTGAGGGGGAGGCAGGACTGGGTGGGGGACCCAGGTTTGGTGTCCCCATGCCCTGCAGAGACGGACCCCAAATGGTCTTTCCCCTCTAGGGGGCGTAGGGTGACCAGATAGCAAGTGTAAAAAATCCGGGCGGAGGGGGGGTAATAGGTGCCTATATAAGAAAAAGCCCCCAAAATTGAGACATCTGTTCACCCTAAGGGGGCGTTGGCTCCCATCCGGCCCCTGGGCAGGGGACTGGCTGGATTTGGGGGTGGGGAATGGGACATGGGGCCTTTCCCCTCTAGGGGGTGCCAGCTCCTATCTGGCCCCAGGGTGGGGACTGGCTGGCTCATGGGGTGGGGAAAGGGCCATGGGGCCTTTCCCCTCTAGGGGGTGCCGGCTCTCATCCGGCCCCAGGACAGGGACTAGCTGGATCAGAGGGCTGGGGCATGGGGCCTTTCCCCTCTAGGGGGTGCCAGCCCCAGGACAGGGACTGGCTGGCTCATGGGGCAGGGACTGGGACACCTAGTGGCTGTCCACTGGCTTGTGTGACACAAGCTGGGAGGTTCTCAGTGTGTGTCCAGATGGCCCAGGTGGCTCCCACCCCAGCTGTTGAGCCAGCCAGCTCCTTTGTGTCCTAGGAGCAAAGTAATCTCCCCACCTCACCATACTGGGGTCTGTCCCTGTCTCCTGGTGTCTGGGCCTCTGAACAGGCTGATGAGCCTGCCCTAGCCCAGGCTAAAGCAGGGGCCTTTAGCTCAGCCAGTACAGGCTCATGGGCTTAGCATGAGGGGTGATGAGTTTAATTCCCCGCTGCTGGTTACCCGTCCTGCGGCATGGTGTTACAGAGCTGAACTCCCTCCCACTCTCGAGGGCTACAGCCCATGGGCAGCGCTGCGCCAACCCCTCAGCTCACCCCTTCCTCCAGGGCTTCGGTTGCCAAAGCTGCCTAGGTGCCTGCTTCCCCTGCCTAGCAATTGCTGTCCAAATCCCTTAGGCAACTTGGAGAGGGCCAGCCACGGGACTCCTAACAGCGTGGGCCTCTTGGATGCAGCTGATGCCACGTAGGGTTGCCAGCCCTCACTTAATTAAAGATCATGTCACAGGATGAAACCTCCAGGAATCTCAGCAACCCTAGTGCCAAGGCCAGGGTGGCTGTGAGATGAAGCCACAATCTCTGCGCAGCTTGTGAACCGTGGGTTCCTTGGCCCTTGCAGAGACTCCTGGGAAATAGCTGGAAGCCCAATTACAATTGGAAACAAGGCTCCATTTTTTGTAACTGAGAGGGTGATTAACCCACGGAACAAACTCCCTGGGGCCTTTTGGGAAGACACTTTAGCCAAACGTCCGTTCCTGGGCTCAGTGCTGGGGGAACTGGGTGGAATTTAGCAGCCTGTGGTAGACAGGAGGTGGGACCGCAGCTTGGTGGCCCTCCAAACGCCCGGCTCATGGGTGCCTGTTTTTTAGACCATTTGTTCAATGGATGTTGCCGCTGCGATAAATAATGGCTTGTGTTTTGTGTGTCTTTGCTTGTGGTTCCTTTGGGCCCCTTTCAATGGGACAGCATCCATGGACCAATGGGACCATCCTCCACTGACTGGATTTTGGGGATGCAGCTGAGACCCGGCACTGCTAAGTGCTAAGTGCCCAGGGAAAGCCTGAGGTGGGTTTTGAAGCCAATCCAACAGAGCATATATTACAGAAAGGCCCACCGTTTTCAAAAGGAATGGGTTTTTTTGGGAGCCTGGCATGCACCCCCTTTAAAAGCTCTGGCTTTTATAAAGGGCCGAGCCCCCGCGCTTGCAAAACCAGACCTCTTTAACGTGGCTCAGTGTGGACACCCAGCAACTGCAGTGCCCCAAATCACTAGTCACAAAAATCATCCCGTGCCCTGGTTCAGCGAGGAATGATCTGCAAGGCAGGCCAGTGCCACGCTGGTTGTGAACAGCATCGTACCACGTACAGCCTGCAGCTGGGTAAGGTGTTCCGTCCGTGTACTGGAAATAGGTTCTGATAGTTCGCATCCAGCGGAGGTGACCAATCAGTCTCCTGCCAGAGTGGAGATGTTTGCCCATCGCTCTGAAGAACTCTCCCACCCATATAGCGCTGTCCACATCGATGCTTTAGTCCATGAAACTTATATTGGTCGGGGGTGTGTGTGTGTTTTTTTCATACCCCTGACCGACAAAAGTGTTGCCAGCAAAAGTGCTAATGTAGACATAGCCTGTTAGGGGCTGATACGAGCTCACTGCTTAACAGCCGCGTTTTCTAGGCGCTCTAAAATCCACACCCTGAGTCACATTGTTTTGAAATTTGACATGTCTCCTTAGTGTCTGAGCTAGGGTAAGTGGGGCAAATTTGGAGTCACTTGGTCCAGGGGTTTCTGAGAGACAACGCCTGTAAACTGAGGACCTGAGAGTGAAACACTGCAGTTGGCTCTGGTTTGGTTTCAGACAGGCATTGAGCCCATGTCTCTCTCCTCGGCCAAGGATGCTGGTTGTACGAGGCAAATTGTTCCTCCTGGGCTGGCCCGCAGTGACAAAGGATGATTCCCTGGGAGACAGCTCTGCAATATCTGCCGATCCCAGCACCCCTCAGCTGGGCTGTGTCTCTCACTGGGCACAGAGCAGGGGCTGGGCTGTTGGTAGGAGAGGGGCAGGGAGGCGCTTGCTGCCCAAAGCTCTTGTCAGGACAGGATGGCAGACGAGCTCTGGAGGGAGACAGTGAGGCAGGCACCAGGCGACAAGGCCATTCTTGCAGCGGATGGGCTGAGGATCGCAAGCTCATATCTCAGATCAATTTCCTGCCATAGGAAGGTACGTAGCATGCTGGCTCATCAGCCCCTCTAACCTGGTATTCTCTTCCTTGCCCCCCATCACACCCCGGGGTCAATCAGGCCTGGTCTCCCCGCCTTTCCTCCCACATCAGACCCCTGGGTCATCCAGCCCACTGACCCCAGCTAGTCCGGGAACCCCCAGCTCTCTGTTGCACCACGACAGACCCAGGGTCCGGACACTGCAGCCACCCAGTGGGCCCATGTCCTGGCTGGTTACACAATGTGTCCATGGAGCCAGTTTCACACCCGCTGCCGTGCAGGAGCAGTTGGGGCTGCCAGTCAGGACTATGGGGCACTGGCAGACCTGTGGGTGGGGCAGCTCATGGCTGGTGTTATTCCAGCCTCAGGCTCCATCCCGGCAGCTCTTCCAGTGCCACTGAATCCTTGAGGAGGAGTGAGGGAGAGACTGGTCCTTGTCACACCTCCCATCCCAGAGCTGAGAAAGAACCCAGGAGTCCTGGATTCCAGCCCCCTCTGCTCTAACCACTAGACACTAGTGGGTTAGAGCAGGTGGGGCGGGGTGGGAGATCCCATTCCCACACCCAGAACTGGGGATAGAAACTAGGAGTCCTGGTTCCCAGACCCCCTGCTCTAACCACTAGACACTAGTGGGTTAGAGCAGGTGGGGCGGGGTGGGGGGTGGGAGAACAGAACCAGGACTCCTGGGTTCTATCCATAGCTGTGGGAGGGGAATGGGATTTCGTAGGTTAGAGTTGGGGGATTGGGAATCAAGAATCCCAGGTGTAGCAGAAAGAAAGTCTGAAACATGAGGCCTTGTACCAAAGGCCCTGTATGAGGCTTGAGGCCTGAACTAAAGTAGTGGGTCAAGCCCTGCTAATATCAAGCAAAGTTAGCAAGAGACAGGCTGAGAGCAGAAGTCAGGCTGTGCCTGTGTAACACCAACAGACCTTGGTTGTCAGCAGGCGGGATTGAGCCTGGGTCCTGTAGGAGCTTAGTGCATGAGCCTTTACTGCATGAGCTAAAAGCCAACTGCTGTTAGCTAAGGCTGTAGGGCAGATTCATTAACGCTGTCGAAGTGGTCTCAGTGTCACCAGATGGGACAGAACGCCACAGCCAGGAGGTGTGTGGGTTACACAGGCTCACAGAACCTGGCAAGAACAGGGCTGGGATTGCAGAAACACACACATTCCTGAGAAGTGCTAGGCAAAGGACACTCACGCAAATGCACTCCAGAAGGGTGGTAGCAGAACACCCTGGTACCAAGTATGAGGTACAAACACTCATCCAAGAATACACTGACCCCCTCTTAGTGATACGGGCAGGATGGGAGCGTAATGAATAAAAATGTTTTGATTGAACCACCATGTACAAGGTAAAGGGTGGTAACTAACCATGTCAAAGGGGCAGTAACTAACTATGTCAGAGGGGCAATATATAACTTGTTTGTATCGGTGAATAATGAGGGGTCTTACATGCAGTGTCTTTGGCCAGCCTAGGGGACAGTGAAAAGTCCCACCGCTCACTGAGCAGCGTCTGTTGTCACAGGCTACATGTCTTAGTATCCTCATAGAGTCTGCCGGGTGCTATTACCGTGCTTCGTCGACAATAAAGCTGGCCGGGTGCCTTCGCTCCTTGGCAAAGTTTTGTGGGTTTTGTGGGCAGTTTGATCAGAACCTGCTGTACGGCCACAGCCAGTGCAGCATGCAGAAAAAACACACACGTGGAGCCAACAACTGACCCCGCCCGCTGTAAAAACTATAACTTTTAACCTTTAAAACAAAGAGAGAGCAGAGAGGCAGGGGAAAAGTGTGAAGAGCAATCTAGGAAGGTAGGGAGACCTGAGCCAAGAGAGATTATCAAGGTATCTTAAAGTACCGGCAGCAGCAGCCAGTTTAGCAAACTGAGAAAGGATATAAAAGAAAACTGGTAGGTAAAAATATTTGAGAAAGAAGGGTCTATTTTTATCTCTGAGCAAGGAGTGTGTGGCTTCGTGGGTTAAAGCAGTTGTGAACCCGCACCCCTGGTTTTTATCCTGGCTTTGAGAGGATAGTGGGGGTCATTACCTGAATTTGTTCCCCCAGTGTTTGTTGCTTTTGTCTGCATGCCAAATGGATTGCAGGAGTGCCCTTACATACTGCAGTTAACTGTTTTTTGGGCACCTCCAGGCATTAATGCATCAATTCTAGGTGTTAACCTGCTCAATTTTGGGTTTTCACTTTGAAATTCTTTATTCACTCCCCCAAGATTGAGTCTCAGCTTCTGTCTCCTAATGTGCTCTGTGAACTGTTCCATTTTTTCCTTCATCTGAGTTACCAATCCAGTGAATGTACTGTTTGCTACTTCTCCCTCCTGGGCACTTATTTGTCCCATTCTGACAGGCACCAGTCTAGGTCTCAGTTTAAGTTTTACCAGAACCTGGATTTATCTTACAGTGGTGGTTGCACTACATTGGCCCGTTTCATTTTTTAACTTTGCTAGGGTTACCGTTTTCCATTTCTGTCCCCACTCTTCAGGCATAGGGTAGCTACCACAAGCCTGTTGTTGACCGCAAATATTTCTAACAGGAGGGCACGTCTTTTTTGCAGAGTTTTTCAGCTGTTTCCAATGTTTTATTCTGTTCCTGTTCTTGCTGTAAGGTAAACTCTCGTAGGTGGTTACCTTACTTTACCATCCGTACATTTACGCTCCATCTGTCCCTTAAGTTTTTACATTTCCTTTTATGACTGATGGACAGATTTTATTTTTCAATTGTTTTTAGTTTCTTATGGTGGGCCTGGGAATGTTAGACTCCTGAATCATGATTGAGGAGTGGGGTTTTATGAGTGAGCCTTGGTGGTACCCAAATAATGAATACATATGGATAATATGTGTGACAGTGCCCCCCATAAAGCTTTATGGAAATATACTTCTGAATGTATATATGACATAACTAGAATGTGTTTTATGCTACATATGTCATCATGTAACATATCTCTGTAAAGGTTATGATCTACTGAATCTATTAATCCTATTTGTATGCATGTATCATTTCTGTATTCAAGGTTATGAACTTTGTCTGCATACTTGTTTGATTCTGAGTAGGTTTTAGTGAAGTGGTTGGTCAGCTTCCTGAGAAAAGACTATTCTCAGTAAGTGCTCAATCAAGAAGCTCTTAAGCCAACAATGAACTTGGAGACGCCAATCCACATCTGGGCTTTCCCAGGAATGTGGCTTGGCTGGTAAGAAACTCAGTCAGGCACAGACATGTGACTTGCCCGGGTGACTCCAAAACTCCATTTTGTAGATGGACTTTGCATAGGCGAGAGGAGGGGGTCTCCACCCACAAGAGAAAGTCTATTTAAACCCCTGGGAGACCCCTCCATTTGGTCTTCAGCTGGCTAAAGAAAGAGCCTCTCCATCCCCAAGGATACCTGAAAGAAACTGGAACAAAGGACAATAACTACAGGGGGTGTGAGTGATTGCTGGACCCAGACTAGAAGGAGGCTAGTCTGTAAAAGGAAGCTTACTGGATGACGATTTTATCTGTATTCAGTTTTATTACTGTACTAGACGTAGACTTGCATGTTCTATTTTATTTTGCTTGGTAATTCACTTTGTTCTGTCTGTTACTACCTGGAGCCACTTAAATACTACTTCCTGTATTTAATAAAATCACTTTTTACTTATAAATTAACCCAGAGTATGTATTAATACCTGGGGGGTGGGATGGGGGGAGAGGGGGCAAACAGCTGTGCATATCTCTCTATCAGTGTTATAGAGGGCGAACGATTTATGAGTTTACCCTGTATAAGCTTTATACAGGGTAAAACGGATTTATTTGGGGTTTGGACCCCATTGAGAGTTGGGCATCTGAGTGTCAAGGACAGGGACACTGCCTAAGTTGCTTTCAATTAGGTCTACAGCTGTTAGGGGACATGGTTCAGATCTGGGTCTGGGTTTGCAGCAAGCTAGCGGGTCTGGCTTAAACCAGGCAAGGCACTGAAGTCCTAAGCTGCCAGGGCAGGAAAGCAGGAGCAGAAGTAGTCTTGGCACATCAGTTGGCAACCCCAAGGGGGTTTCTGTGATCCAACCCATCACTATATGGATATGGCATATATATGTACACATAAATATGTATATAAATACAGCTTCCATATCAGGAGAGTTTAATAAGACTGGGACTTCTAAGCTTGGAAAAGAGACTACTGAGGGTGGTTAAGATTGAGGTCTATAAAATCATGATTGGCGTGGGGAAAGTAAATAAGAAAGTGTTATTTACTCCTTCTCATAACACACAAACTAGGGGTCACCAAATGAAATTAATAGGCAGCAGGTTTAAAACAAACAAAAGGAAGTATTTCTTAACAGAACACACAGTCAACCTGTGGAACTCTTTGCCACAGGATGTTGTGAAGGCCAAGACTATAACAGCGTTCAAAAAAAGAACTAGATAAATTCATGAATGATAGGTCCATCAATGGCTATTAACCAGGATGGACTGGGATGGCATTCCTAGCCTTTGTTTACCAGAAGCTTGGAGTGGGAGGCAGGGGATGGACCACTTGATGATTACGTGTTCTGTTCATTCCCTCTGGGGCACCTGATATTGGCCGCTGTCGGAAGACAGGATACTGGTTTAGATGGACCTTTGGTCTGACCCAGTATGGACGTTCTTTTGTGTGGTACATACGAGTATGTATGTGTACATATGACACCACCTTATATCCAAGCATAAATTATTTTTCCAATCTGGTGTTTTAGTCTGGCCCTTTTACTTTGGTGCTGCAGATAGCTTATCCTGACTGTTGGTTTTCACCCTCTGGGGTAAGCTTCGCTAGACAGGAGTGGCTAGCTTCTCTGTTCCATTGGTTGCATTGCTCTGTGATACACCAGTAGCTGACATAGATCCAGCTGTTTCTTATAGATGCTGTTTTCCAGATAACCTACTGAATGCACGGTAACCAATTTATGAAATATTGCTGTGTCAGGATTTAGTATTGGTACCGAGACACTGAACCAGATGGTTTAGAATAACATTTGCCTTACTTAGGATGCAGTGTCACTGACTCAGATTATGACTGGTACTAACAAGGGAGTGGAGAAACGTTCCCAGGGACAGTTTCTGTTGGAACCATTCCAGGGCCAAGAATCTGCCTGGTTTGGACAAAATGACATTTATGTTCACGGAAAAAAGTGTCCCCAATTTTTTTTTTTAACCAGCCCTAACTGGGCAGGGGAGGCCAGGTTTGTTACAGTGTTTCGGTGCCTGGTGAGATTTTCAAACACTTATAGGTGCCTGATTCCCTTTGCTTTCAATGGTGCGGGTACCTCAGTGGTTTGAAAATCCCACTAAATGCCAAAATGCCTTCCAAATCTGGCCCTTAAACATCTCTGGAAATCTGGCCCTGAGTCACTGTTTGGCAGCACTGGGGATGCAGGCTGGGTCTTCTAAGGACCCCGCCAGCTCCCTGCTGGTGGCCCCTGTTGTGTGAATGTAGATGGACTAAATGGGCCGAGGTGCTAACAGAGCCCATCACTGTCCAGCACTAGCCAGTGTGAAACGAGGGGCAGGGATTGGGACCCAGAGACCTCCCCCAGCTCGTGCCATGGCAAACATGCTGTGAAACAGCCCTTAACCTTTGATTAACACCACAGGAAAGGAGGGGAAAAAGTCCGGACCTTTGAATTGTAAAGCATTAAATCCGGCTGTCATTTGCACAACCCCTCTAGTTCCCTTTCCCTTGGGCTGGGACAGTCTGGGCAGGAAATCCGGCTTGTCTGCCAGTCTCTTGTTTGCCAGGTATCTGTGCTGGTGATAATGAACCTCAGGGGGAGAGAAGTGAGCTGAGACTGGCTGGAGCTGCTGTTCATAGAATCATAGAATATCAAGATTGGAAGGGACCTCAGGAGGTCATATAGTCCAACCCCCTGCTCAAAGCAGGACCGATCCCCGACTAAATCATCCCAGCCAGGGCTTTGTCAAGCGTGACCTTAAAAACTTCTAAGGAAGGAGATTCCACCACCTCCCTAGGTAACGCATTCCAGTGTTTCACCACCCTCGTAGTGAAAAAGTTTTTCCTAATAACCAACCTAAATCTCCCCCACTGCAACTTGAGACCATTACTCCTTGTTCTGTCAATGTTGAACTATCAGAATTCCCCACAGATGGGAATTCCATTTTCCAGCCAATGCTAGGTGCTAATGTTCATGGGGGAAAAAGAAGAATCTTTATCATTTTTGTGATTATTTTTCTCTTCATTCTTCATTCATTTTGAACACTCCAGACTTGTTCCATTTTGATGGCTCCTGCTAACCACAGGGCAAATCCAACTTGGTGAAAAAACACATCTTGCACAAACATTTTGTAGCCCTAGAAACACCCAGCATAGCTGAGACACTGGGGGATAGATGGCCCGTAATTGTAAAGATTGTAATGGGAAGCTGGTACACAAATTTTTTATGTAGTTTGGCAAATCTTAACCCAAATGGGTTGATGGATGAAAGGAAAAACCAGCATTTTTCTGCTGTTCTGAAACAAACCAACAAACCAGAGACCCTGGGACATCATAAGACAAACTAGGATGATACTGGGACATTGTATGAGAAACTGGGACTTTCCTGGTAAAATCAGGCCATGTTGTAACTTTAGGAGGGCTAAGGGTTCCCAAGCCACTTAGTGGATTTGAACACCCAAGCCCCTTTAAAATTCATGGGAGCTGTGGACTTAAAAATCCTAGCAAGGGTGAAAGGCTCAGCCAAGGAGTCTAGCCCTGGTTGTGGGTCCGCAGGTGTAGTCCATAAAGCTCAGCATCGCTCCTGAGTCTTGGTGTCTGTATATAAGGGTCTTCCCAGGACTTTGGGCCTGAAGTTTCCAAAGCAGTTGCTAGTTTTGGGTGTCAAGCTTGAGGCAGCCTGGATGTGTTCAGAGATACGTCTTCAGCAAAGCCTCTGAGATGTCCACAGGTAATCAGGGGGAACGCTGAGTTCAGAGGCCAAACCCTCATCCTCCCCTGGGGACACGGCTTGAGGTTGGGGAAGCCCAATTTCCATGTGAAGAGTTCTGGAGAAAAATCTTGTTCCTGTGTCATTTCCCAAGGATTTTTTTGTTTTTCTGTAAGAGATGAGGGGAGCTGAGCCCACATTGTGGAGTGCTAACAACACCATGCTGGCCTCAAATTGGGTACTGAAAAATTGAGATACCCCAAATCTTGGATCACTTGTGAAAATGTTGGCTCTCGTGTGATGAGTCATGGATGTGTAACCCTTCTGCCCGTCAGAGTTGGCAGCAACAAGGGCCGGGTTCAGTATCTAGGGGTTCCATTCCAATACACAATGCAAAACCAGCTCGAGCCCCCACCCAGTGACCACCCCCACCCCCGCTGGGTGCCTCTAAGAGGCAATACTTCCCCTCTCACAAGCACAGAGTCTGAGTGTAGCAAAAGCCTTTTAATAACAGAGAGAAACAATGTCACATTATGTTGGGGAAACACCACCAACAGGATTCATAACACAACCCATGAGCAAAAAACCCATCCCAAGCAAATTGGGCTGTGTCCTTTCCCTTTGGTTCTTGAGTCCAGCAACCCAAAATCACCTGAAGTCCCAAAAGTCCAACAACCCAAAAGTCTCTGTCCCTGGTCAGTGCAGCCCCAGAGTCTGAAAGTTTATCTGCAGAGTTTTACGTCCCAACCTGGGTGGAGATGGGGGGAGGGGTGTTAAGGGGCGCCTTACATGGTCCAAAGTCGATCGTCCCACCTCTCCATGGGGCTCCGCTCCACTCCACCAGGCCGTCCCACAAATCGCTCCACTCTGCCAGCCGTCCCACAAGCCACTGTGCTCTGCCAGCCATCCCACAAACTGCTCTGCACTATATCTTTAGGCTCCCCCACTACTTAACACAACACTCAGTGATTTCAGCTTGTAGTAGGGGAGCCTTAGTACTGATGCACTATTAACCCAAAGTGAATTCAGCTCAGCAGCCTGTAACTAGACTCCTAACGGAATTAAAATTAGCTCTGATATTCTACAGTGGAGAGAAAAGAAAGTGTAATTAGTACATAAGACCCTTACCAAAGGACCCATACCACAAGGTATTAATACCTATCCCCAACTCCTCTCCATTCATGGGGTTTTGGAACCCATGACCCTTGCCTAGTGAATGCTGCTTAGTTGAAAGTGAGTCCCTCCAGCATAACAAAAGGCCAAGTAAAGTTCCACTGTCCTTGATACACATAATCAGGATAATAACAGTTTATTCCTGCCCCAATAACAGAGAAACTGAGGCTCCTACAGCAGCCAAAGTGACCATCTAGGTGGGGTGGGTGTGTCTATGCAAATGAGATCAGCCCCTGAAGTTCTTTTCCACAACCCACCATGACTCGCCACCAGATGTCAGGGTAGAGCTCATCCTGACTCTGCTTACAGATGCTTGTGATGAGCCGGGCACACAGAGACTATGCACACTAGTAAGGTTTCATGCAGGCCCATCACTTGGCCATAGGAGCCATAGGGAATGGGATATGGGGGCTTTCCCATCTAGGGAGGGCCAGCTATGATCTGGGATAAACCGCCCATTGGGAAAGTTTATTCCAGCCCCTTAACAGTTCAGGTTTATGACCTGAAGCCCAAGTATTTATATTTCTTTAACTGATGTAAATCTGCAAGCTGCACTGGTGTCATAGAATCATAGAATCA